ATGCACGGCTCCTTCCTTTTTCTCCAAGGGCTCGATTTCTAGGGCCAAGATGCACCCTGTTATTGTGGCTTAAAATGTTTTCGAGGAGACTTTTTGGAAAAAGTACTACATACACAAGGAAAACTCCAAAACCAACAGTACTCGGGTACTCAGAAATTTACTTACTTTTGAGCATAATGAGGTACATTCAACTCAGAACGACTGTGCCCTGCGAGCAGGTGTAAGGTCTTGTAGTAATGTCCAGGGGGCAGTCACAATCACATGGAATTTCTATACCCAGTGTGGGTTAATTCATGTAAGAATGGTTATCAAACTGTCTTTTCCTAGTCTATCTCCATCTTATATATTGAAACTGAGACAGAAAGGATGTAATTAGTCACCAATCTCTACATGAGTTTCTGTGATAGCATTCAGCTTGCTGCACTGTAAGCTCTTGTTTATATGCTTGGCTCTTTGACTGAATGACATGGTAGCACAGACTATTTTTCAATCATAAGTCAAGCCCCATTGCCTAACGTAACTGGTAGCACCCAGTGGACACTCAATCACAATTTTCTGAATGAATGAATGAAGCTGATTAAACTAAATTGTGTTATACTTCCAGTCTCATAGCCTCATAATTAAGTCCTTCATAAGGAAACTTTCTTTATAAAAGTCCTTGAATTCTGTTATTTCATCAACAGTATCTGCTCTTTCTTTTTACCACTCTCATTCCCAGGTATTCTCTGGTAGACTCTCACTTGTCTGTCTGTGTAAAATTCCAATATTTGTCTACTGTCCTCTTACAACCTCTATGGCAGCAGCTCCTAGGTTTACTCAACCCCACATAACCATGTGCATATTCTGCATTTTTCCATATTTATGCTCTTCTTTCCTCACATGCTGATCTGTTCTTTCTCTCCCTCTCTCCATTATTTTATGCCATGACTCCCATGAACATACTTGCACATCAGTGTAAACAGCTAATGGCTGCAGCAATTCAGCCGGTGTCTATGAAACAGATAAGTTACATTTGGGGAGCTGAAAGTCAATGACATGTGAATGTCACTGGGACCCTGGGTGAACTAATCCCCCGGCAGGAGCTAAGGGCCAACAGGCTCCCAGTTCTCACTGTCTGACATGCCCTGACCCCACCTCCTGGCTGGGCTCACTCCAACTCATTCCTCAGATCTCTGCTTTGCATCAGCCCCAAGAGAACTTACGTTAACCCTCCCCTCTCAGTCTGAGTCCAGTCCCCCATGACAAGCTCTTCTTGCCCCTTGGACTTGCTCTTCAGGTTCCCATCAGGATTATAGTCAGGTTTATTCTTATAATAAGTATCCTTATTCAGATGACTTATTCAAAGTGTGTCCCCCTCCACTGGACCGTGAGGCCTTCAGGGTGAGGACCTTTTCCAATTTTGTTCAGTATTGTGCTCCAGGACCTAGTGCAGTCCTCGGCACATTATTGCTCCGTATAAATATCTGTTAAATAAACTAGCTACACAGAAAATCAAATGCCACCATGACTACTTACATGAGGCTGATGGGATAAGAATTTTGAAGTGAAGAAAGGTAGGGAGAGGAAGAGTTTTAGTAACAAGTAACAGCTTGCAAAGGTTGTATAGAATGAAGAAAAAAGAAAGGATTAGGAGCAGAATGTTTTTCTTGAGTGATTATAATTGGGGAAAATTTTGGTTCAACTAGCAAATATAAATACAATTTCACACAAATGGACAGACCTAATGGGAGTTAAAAGACAATGCTAACATCTGAAACAAGTAGGTATATTTTGAAAGAAAGCACTTTTGAATACAGTTCATTATGTTTTCATATCAATGTTATATAAACATCCTGTAAAGTAAAAAGATCTGTTAAGTAAAATAAGTATGTAATAGTTGAGCAAGACAGAGTTCAGGAATGCTGACTATTGTCAGAAACACTATCTGAATAACATGCAGGCCTTAATCTCTGGGCACTGCATCACTGGGATTCATTTAGTCAGAGCCTAATTGTGTGTGCCTTGTTCACAGAGAGTTCCCTTAGGTTTCTTTCAAACTGCTTTCTCAGCCAACTTGACCATTAGAAAGCATTTAACATCAGGACAACATCATTCTCAAAAGGGTTCATTAGGCAGCTTTAAAAAAAGTATTTTTTTTCTCAAATCTTTCAGTCTCCAACATTCATCAACAAATCATTCTGCCTTGCCAATGCTCTCTGTATTTCTCCACTCTAGCTTTTGATCATGTTTCTCCTTTTTTATTCTTGGAATTAGTTGCCATCTTTAACATTCAACTCACAGTGTTTCTACTCACAGAGCTGACAGGAACTTAAGAAATTTAATTCAATTCGCTCCTTTCAGAGAGAATTTTTTTCCTGGAAGATTTATTTAGCAAAATTCAGATGAGCTTTCTTTGTCCTTGAAATAAAACTCAGAAATTAAAAATTGAGCATGCACTAGGACGGACTGTAGTAAACCTGGAGTGGGGACAGGGAGGGAAGCTAGATAAACAGAGCAGTTGCGGGGTCAGAATCACCACCAGATGAAGTCACCACAAGTGGAAAAGATACTAGTCGTCTCCACATTATGGCCTCACAGCTAATCTACCAGCCCGAAACAAACAAGCCATGGAGGGAGTTTCTTACATTCATCATACCCACTACTAATTTTACAATAAAAACAATAAGCAAAGTAAAAAAAAAAGCATAGGCTTTGGAGTCAAGCGATTCAAGGTTCAAATCCTTATCTCACCACTAGCTACATGATCTTTTGAAGGCCTAGGGAGGACCTGAGTTATAAAAAATGTAAGATGGGGGTAATAAGTAATACATCCAGTGCACAACCGTTCTGAGGTTTAAATGAAATGGTTTATACAGAATTATAGTAGCTATCCCAATGTTGATAGCAGCATTATTCACTAGAGCAAAAAGGAAGAAAGAAGTCATGTTCATCAACAAAATATGATATATATATATATATATATATCTACATTTCCCCCTTCATGGATCATGGCCTTGTTGTGGTGAAGGGGCTTGTGCAACTCAATGAAACTATGAGCCACGCCAGGCAGGGCCATCCAAGACAGACAGGTCACAATGGAGAGTTCTGACAAAACGTGGTCCACAGGAAGGAATGGCAACTCACTCCAGTATTCTTGCTTCAAAAATCCCATGAACAGTATGAAAAGGCAAAAAGATATGACACCAGAAGATGAGCCCCAGGTCCATAGGTGTCTAATATGCTACTGGGGAAGAGCAGAGAAATAGCTCCAGGAAGAATGAAGCATCTTGGGCAAAGTGGAAATGATGCTCTGTTATCCTGCTTATTTAATTTATATGCAGAGTAGATTATGGGAAATGCCAGGCTAGATGAATCACAAGCTGGAATCAAGATTCCTGGGATAAATATCAACAACCTCAGATATGCAAATAATACCACTCTAATGGCAGAAAGTGAAGAGGAAGTAAAGAGTCTCTTGATGAGCATGAAAGAGGAGAGTAAAAAAGCTGGCTTAAAACTCAACTTAGTTCAAAAAACTAAGACCATGACATCTATTTGCCATGAAATGGTCCCATGGTGACTGCAGCCATGAAACTAAAGGATGCTTGCTCCTTGGAAGGAAAGCCATGACAAACCTAGATAGCATATTAAAAAGCAGAGACATCACTTTGCCAACAAAAGTTTGTATAGTCAAACCTATGGTTTATCCAGTAGTCATGTATGGATGTGAGAGTTGGACCATAAAGAAGACTGAGTGCCAAAGAAGTGATGCTTTTGAACCGTGGTGTTGGAGAAGACTCTTGAGAGTCCCTTGGACTGCAAGGAGATCAAAGCAGTCAATCCTAAAGGAAATCAACTGTGAATATTCATTGGAAGGGTTGATGCTGAAGATGAAGCTCCAAAACTTTGGCTACCTGATGGGAAGAGCTGACTCATTGGAAAAGACCTTGATGCTGGGAAAGATTGAGGGCAGGAAGGGGGTGACAGATGATGAGACAATTGGATAGCATCACTGATTCAATGGACATGAGTTTGAGCAAACTCTGGGAGATACTGAAAGACAGGGAAGACTGGCATGCTGCAGTCTATGGGGATGCAGAGTCAGATATGACTTAGAGACTGAACAACAACAATATCTACACTTCCACACTTTCAATGTAGAGGATGAGGATCGATCCCTGGTTGGGGAATTAAATCCCACATGCCATGAAGCAACTAGGCCCGGGTGCCTCAACTACTGAAGCTGGAGTGCTCTGGAGCCTGTGCTGCAGCTAGCGAGCCTCGGGGCCACAACTAGAGGGTCCATGCACTTCAATGAAAGAGCCCACGTGACACAGTAAAGAGCCCACATGACACAGTGAAGATCCCACATGCCACAGCTAAGACCCAATGCAGCCAAGTAAGTCAATAACTACTTTAAAAAAGGAAGGACAGTCCAATACATGCAAAAACATGGATGGATCTTGCAATTATGCTAAGTGAAAGAAATCAGACACGAAAGGACAAACATTGTATAATTCAACTTATAGGAGTATATAGAATAGGCAACTTCATAGCAGCAGAAAGTAGAATAGGCACGATGGGGGCTGGGAGTATAAAGAGATGGGAGTTACTGTTTAATGGGTACAGAGTTTCTGTTTGGGATTATGAGACTTCTGGAAATGGACGGTGGTGATGACTGTACAACATTTTCAATGTACTTGCTGTCACTGAATTGTATACTTAAAAATTAGTACAGTGGTAAATGTTACATTATATATATTTTGCCACAATATAATTTTACATCATATATGTTTTGTTTTGGGACACAAAACAGGGCAAAAATGCTAGTAGAACGCCTGATGCTATGTACATCATCAAAAGGAGGGAGGTTCAAGAGGAAGGGGACATATGTATATCTATGGTTGACTCATGGTGATGGCAGAAACCAATACAATATTGTAAAGCAATTATCCTCCAATTAAAAATAAATAAAATTTATTAAAATGGTAGGTATATGTCATCCTACCCTGCCTGTTTACCTGTTCTAAGTAATGAAGGGACAAGTTGATATACTTGGCCTCTGTGAGAAGCTGGCCTCCGACTCCAGTCTTGGCAACCCGCTCTGAACCAGCCAGGTCCACCAAATGCAGCTTGGCATGTCTCACGGTTGCAGATCCTGGTTCCTTGCTTGACAGGTGAATGGTGAAAATGCAGTGAGAACGGGTTGAAGCTTGGTTCATAGGAGTCTATAATAAATAAGTTGTAAAACAAAAATGAACAATGAGAATTTTGGAAGACTACCAACAGATTTAAATTTATATTTCCACTGATAAGACATTTCCTGTGAAGTGAACACTTTCAAATGGAGTAAAGATGCTTGCAGCAGAGATCCTTGATATGAATTACTCCTGATAACAGATATGGGTAGGTTCATTCAGAGAGTGAGAGTTTGAATGAGGCAAAGCTTGGGTCTTCTTAAACAATACAATAAGTTTACCTAATTACATGACCACAGTCCATACTTAACTTTGGCTAGCCATACTGAAAATGTTCAATGTGAATTTCATAAGAAAAGAGCTGGGAATGGGTGCATTGAGAGTTCATTACACAATTGTAAACACAATCCACGGGCAAGGATACCTAACATCACTGCTACTACCCAACACTGAACTGGGGCTCCCAGTCAAAATAATAAACAAGAAAAAGATACGAGGCATAGTAATAGAAAATAAATTAAAGTGTCTTATACACAGAAAATATTGTGGTTTACATAGAGAATGCAAGAACATCTACAAATAAACTGTTATGGACTAAAAAAATGAGCACAGTTGTTGGATGAAAGATAAATATGAGAAATCAGTAAAGTTCTAGTAATCCAGCAATATTAATCAGGAAATACATTATTCATAATGGCAACAAAGATGATGAGATAATAAGACATTAATCTTATAAAAGATATGTAATTTACAAGGAAAATGATAAAATAATATTAAAGAATACAAAATGGAAACTTGAAAAATTGAGGTGCCAGATATTAATATACCATTTCATGGATGGGAAAATCCAAAATTAATCTCTGTATTAATCTCTCTCTATTAAGAAATATATTCAATGCAATTGAAATACAAATGCTGTTGATTTTGTTTACAGCGCAAAACAAATTAATTCTAAAAATGAGATGGGAGAGCAAATATTGAAAATAAAACCAATTCCGTGAAAGAATAATAAGGAAAAGGGTCTTGTCTTGCTATATATCCAGGGATAATCATAATACTAGAGTAATTAAAACAGTGTGGCACTGCTGCAGGAGCAGATAACTAGGTCAATGAAACATGCTATGCTCATTTAAGAAACTCTGCATAAGGCATGGGTGACATCATAGCACAGAGGAGGAAGGATGGACTTATTAACAAATGGTGTTGGAATAACGGTTGGAATAATGGGCTATCCATCTTGAAAATGTAAATTTAGATTGCTTTCTCACACTATACACATAAATAAATTCCAGAATGTATAAAGATTTATGTGCAAAATAACACAACTTCTTTTTTTTCTTTTAGTTTAGCGAAGTGATTTATTATACAAAAGAAACAGCCTACTAACTAGCTCTTAGGTCAAAAAACAATTCTGCCAGGCACCCCAGAAGATCCATCCTAATCCTCTCCCCAAAATAAACACTTTCTTCCTGACTCTGTTGTAATCCCTTCCTTAGATTTCTTTGGGTTTTATTACTTAAGTATGCATCCTTAGATACTATAGTTTTAGTTTTGTCCTTAGGTTTTTAGCTTGATAAGTGTTTGATTCTCATTCCATCCAGCTTGATTCCCTTTCCAGCCCTTTGTTTTCTTTACAAAGTATCTGCTGAAGAACTTGAGCCACTTGACCAAAGTTTCTCGGCCTGGACTGCCTACATTCTCATGGGAGAGTTCAACGTCCTGTCAGCTCTATTTCTTGGGTATCAGCAGCTGGGTCGAGGGCTTGACCAGACTTACATCCTATCCCTTTAACAAGGCTACCAGTGGTGGTGCGTCTCTTTATCAGGAGATGTCCACAAGTCTGGTTGTTGCTTTTTTGAATGAAATAACACAACTTTAACCTTAATAAAATACAGCAGCATATTGTAATCAACCCAAGGTAGTAACAGATAATCTATGAAAAAACATAAAACACAAAAATGAATGGATTTGAAATACTTGATCAAATAATCCAAAATTAAAGAACTTCTGTGTGATGACATCTGCTGCTGCTGCTGTTTGGTAGCTTAGTTGTGTCTGACTTTTTGCGACTCCATGGACTGCAGCTCGCCAGGCTCCTCTGTCCATGGGATTTCCCAGGCAAGAATCCTGGAGGGGGTTGCCATTTCCTTCTTTTTTTTTTTCTGGTTTTATTTTTTTTTCCATTTATTTTTATTAGTTGGAGGCTAATTACTTTACAATATTGTAGTGGTTTTTGCCATACATTAACATGAATCAGCCATGGATTTACATGCATTGCCATTTCCTTTTTCAGGGATCTTTCCAACCCAGGGATCGAACCAATGACTCCTGCACTAGCAGGTGGATTCTTTACCACTGAGCCACTTGGGAAGCCATGATATCTACCATGAAGTTAAAAGACTGGGCGGTGATATTAGCAGTATATGCGGCTGACAAAAGATTAGCATTTGAAATACAGAACCCCCACAAAGCAATAAAAGAAAGACAAACAACTCAGAAAAAAATGAGCAAAGGATATGAATATGTACCCTATAAGGAGGAAACCTGAATATGGTCAACATGTCTTTGAAAAAAATGCTCAGGCTTATAAATACTCAAGACAAGTAATTAAAATCTAACAATTAACTATTCATCCACCTCTATCAGACCAGAAAAAATGTAAGAAATAAAGTCTAACAAAACAAGTATTTGTAAAGATAATGAAAGTTGAAATAATACATACAGATGGTGGGACTGCAAATTAAAAATCTTTTTTTTTTTTTTTGAGGAATTCGCTATGACCCGCAAGCCAGCAATAATAGACTGACTACTGGTGGCTCGGATGGTGAAGAATCTGCCTGCAATGCTGGAGACCCAGGTTCAATCCCTGGGTCAGGAAGATCCCCTGGAGAAGGAAATGGCAATCCATTCCTGTATTCTGGCTTGGAGAATACCATGGACAGAAGAGCCTGGTCTGCTACAGTCTATGGGTGGCAAAGAGTTGGACATGACTGAGCAGTTAACACTTCATTTCACTTCACTAGGAATATTTCCAAAAGGGAAACCTGGGCCAGGGACATTATAGGGGAGAGAGACAGAGGCAGAGACAAAAGTCAAATGACACTGCAGCACTGCTTAGGGCAGCAAGAAGTTGTTGCAAGGTGTACAACCTAAATGGACATCTTGCGGTGGAAAGATGAATAAACTAGACTAATTCAAACTACAGAACAGTAAAATGCAAAAACTTTTGTGTAGGTTGACATTGATTTCTAAAACAGAATGTTGAGGGAAAATGGAAGGTTAGTGATAAAAATACTATGATAAAACTTAGATAATTAATAAGGCAATATTACTTAAAAACATTAGCTCATGGTGCCATAACCTAGGTCATTAAAAGTTTAAAAAATGGACTGAGAGGATATAGCAAATTAATGATAGTAGTTGCCTTTGTGAGAGATGACTTCACCATTATCTGAAATATCCTATTTCTTTTATTTAAAAATTATTAGAAGTAAATGAATATCAGACATCTAAAAATATCTAAAATAAAAAGTAGTTAAAAATATTTCAAAGGAACGTTCATATGCATAAAGCCATTCAGATCTCCACCTTTGCAAAATGGGATTTAACAAAAGAATTTCTATATGGATACACATGTATTCAGATAGGGTAACATATGTGGATGCTATTCTTTCTATAAATATACAGTCTTGATATAGACCATTGTAGATTTATACCAACTAGCAAAATACATGGGCTTTGCTGGTAGCTCAGCTGGTAAAGAATCCGCCTACAGGGGCTTCCCAGGTGGCGCTAGTGGTAAAGAACACTCCTGCCAATTCAGAGACATAGGAGATGCGGGTTTGATCCCTGGGTCAGGAAGGTCCCTGGAGAAGGGCATGGCAACCCACTCCAGTATTCTTGCCTGGAGAATTCCATGGACAGAGGAGCCTGGCGGGCTACAGTCCATGGGGTCACAAAGAGTCGGACGTGACTGAAACGACTTGGCACATACACAGCAAAATATACAGATGTCCAGATACTGGCATACTTTTGGTGATGATGATGTAGCTAGTGAATTAAATAGGCTGAAAATTTGACCCATTACTCGTTGCCACAATAACTATACCCAAACCTAGCCAGTGTGTGATTTTGCATGCTAAAGTGGATCAGCAAATAACCGTGCATGTAAAACCGCAAACTCAAATTTAGAACCTAAGTTGAGGTGTTTTGGAAGTGACTGTAAGTTATTTGCAGAACTTAAACATGGGTTTCATTTCACTGTTATATTCACACAACAATAAATCCTACAGCACTGTAACAAAAGTCAAATGACAATCGATAGAAATGACTAACATAGAGACTATCCCCAACAGCTGTCTTCAGCTTGTAAATTGAGGCACTGAAATCACTGTAAAATGCAGGCCATTAGCAAAGAGTGGAAGAGTCAACCCATTTCAAAGGGTACAGCAAATTAAATTGTATTTCTGTAGTCTGTAATTAAAATGCAGTAATATGTGTAGGAGTCCATGCCTACAATTTTGTAACTTCTCATAAATATTTTCTGCATGAAGTAGTAGTTGGTGTCCTCTTAGCTAAAATTTTCTTAAACCTCAGAAAACATTCTTAATGTGTAGCTGCTTAAGTGTGATTGAATGTGCCAGCGCCTGCTCTGTGTTTACTTAAGGACGTCTTTATGTCTCATAGGCATGCCCTTGCATTTGTCCTTTTAAAGGTAAAACTGTACTAAAACCTTTCTGAAACTGCCTAAGAACAGATGGCACCATTTAGGCAGATTCATTCAAATTTAAGTGCACATTTTAAACAAATGTGCTCTTGGCAATAGAGACAGTGCCTTTGGAAAAATTCTAGTGATGATTAATCATCTGCATGCAGAGAGCTTTCACATTTTATATCAGTCTGTGTATACAGCCCCATGTTAGGCAGTACAGAGACAAGAAGGAAAAGAAGGCCTGGACCTTGCCCTCAAGGCGTTTATAATACAGTTCAGGAGCTACTGACAAAATGTGTGAAATGAGAGTGGACAATGA